CTGGTTCAGCTGGTAAAAGTGGAGAAATGATACCGTTTTCATTTCGTCTACTCATCAGTCAATATATAGAAATTAACAAAGACAATATCGCAACCATACCATATAGTTCTCTTTTAGGATTCGGTGATGCTGCTATTCCTGGTAAATTTGTTTGTTTGTTTGTTTTGTTTTTACAAGTAGTATTTGATTTATTGGTCTGGAGAGTTTGTGAAGATTGTTGAATATTATTGCGATCACTAACTGACATAAGGTATACATCCATTAAAAACCAGAAAGCACTGAACATTTGTTTTGTCCTAGTTATGCAACTCTGTGATAGTCAGTCAGTCAGTCAGTTACAACGTAGGATTTCGTACATGAGTACGCGAAATGTTGTTTCCTATAGGTCGTCTTAACTGTCAATGTGACAGACTTCGATGCTGTTTCCTATTCGACCAAAATGTATAAATACGCATTATCTGTAACGTTTTATGACCAGGACCAGGGCTTGGTCCCGGATCCCTAGTCCGGGATCCTGATTCTTTCTGGACTCGGACCTCGTACTTTCTGGGTGTTTGTAGAATACAGGTTCTACTTCATATCAAGTCTTCTTATTTTTGCTAAATTTGGGGGTTGGGATAATCGGATTTGAGTAGCATGTCGTGTCGCCGGATCCTCGCTCTCGTTTTCTGACTAGGTAAGCTCGCACTTGTTCAAGTATATCAAGTTGACCTGTTTATGTGCAGACGTAACAAATGGAGAATATTAGGGCTCCAAGATGTTATTCGAGAAGAATAATTCAGTGAGATAAGTTTAGATAGAGAAAGGTGGAGGTGATGACGAATTCAAAAGATACAAACCAATCCTGGAGCAACATTTTGCATTTCGAGGGTGACAACCGCATCCCGAACATGCTTGCATCGTTGCTTGGGGTAGTCAGAAGACTGCATCTTGTCAGCGTCTTCACCAAATAGAACTATGTCATCGGCGTATTCCTAGTCATCCAGTGAATTTCCTGGTAGAAGGTCCACTCCTGCAAAGTCAAATGAAGATAATGTTACATCTAGCAGCATGTGTATGACAAAATTAAACAAGAATGGAGAAAGTGGACTTCCCTAACGTACACCTCTTGAAGTAAAGAATTCTGATGACAGTTCGCCATAAGCTCTCACTCAAACAGTTGTGTTCGAGTAGAGAGCTTGTATAAAGTTAATGTACTTATCAATGTATTTTGAGCCGCGACACGACAAGATCCGCCGATATATCTTTCCTTTTCACCTAGTCTACCTACTTGAGCGTTGAAGTTACCAGCCATTATTAGTACATCAGAGCGCCTAACTTTTGGAGGTCCGAAATTTTTCTGTAGAACTCATCTTTCACCTCGTCTGAACTGCAGTCAGTGGGGGTATGGGCAGATACGACGAAGAGGCAACGACGGGTGTCCCTATCTTTCCGAGTCCTTACTGTCTCGTTCAGTCGGACAGAGCACAAGCGACTATCTATTGGGGTCCAGTCTAGGAGAGCTAGTTCTGCCCTACGATTCAATGCTATTCCTACGCCAGCGAGACCACGGGAACTAGCAACAGGGCTTCCAAATACACGAAGAGTAAATCGAGTTGCTTCTTTATCTTGAAATTTTGAGGTCAAGTGAATGACGCTACTCGGATCCTGCATGCGCTTTTCCGAGACGCAGCATACATCGATGGCTCGAGATTCTAAAGTCCTAGCTAAAGAAGCCTGTTGCCCTATTTGGCACAATGCCCATACATTAAAAGCTCCATTCAAGATATCAGGACTAATGTTTCGAGAGCTCGTACCGTTTGCTTCAGTGGCATGAGGTGATAAACGATCCAAAGTAGGGTTGGTCGAGGAGATAAGAGAGTTATTAAGAGGTGTAGAGAGGATTCGATTGTGACCAGTTTAGTCTCGTGCGTTTTTATGTGTATGAGGGCGGATGTTACTTCCCGGCTTCCCACACCATGAAAGGATGTTTCTTGAGGAACCAGAAAAGGAAGGTAGATTAGCGTTGGTCTTACAGACCTGGGAGCGTTACCGTAGAGCCCAAAAATAACTGCTTGAGGCCGGTCATGCACGGCCTTTTTATGAAAGACTTTTTGAGTATTAGCTCCGCTCTTAAAAGCCCTTACCACCGGAGACGGAAATCCGTGAGGTAGGATGAGGTGTGACATTTTATAGTCGACCTTTCCTAACTCTTCCTTCCTTGTGAGAAGGCAGCATCGCTGCAGATGCTGGTTGTCCGAGGGAAACACCTTACTGCTGTCACACCTCTCTACAGTCAGCAGTACGACTTCGTCCTCAAACTTTGAGTAGCTGCTTTTAGTCTCATCGTTCTCCAATCTACCTATCTGACTGGCGTGGTAGAACCTACAGGAACATATGGTCCAACCAGTTTAGCTTGGTTAGGTCATCACGATAGGCAAGCTCGACCACCACGACATGGTAGCAGCTTTGGTCGGGACTCTGTGATATTTGCCTGTGCTCTGAAAAGCGCTTAACCTCCAGATTGTCGGGTCAGCATTCAGTTGTTTACATGTTTGGCTTAAATTAATTTGCGATATTACACAACTGTCTGCTGTTGTCTTCAGTTGGTGACTTCTTCACACTGAACACTGTTAAACGCAACGAATCATGGATTCCCACTATAATTCCTGGAGTTACTTTCCGATCTAACCACTCGTGTAAGCATTTGACACGTATCACTATCAAGGGATTTTTGGAGATCGCTGACGTTTTTTTTCGAAAATAAAATTTGTCTGTCTAATTGCTTGTATGAATGATTAAAATGGTTTTGGTTTTATTTTATGTATTCACAATCTACTATCTGTATGAGTTTTCATTTAATGATTGTTGTCATATTTTACGACTTACATTCCAAATACTGAATAAAACAAGAACAACCAGCGTACTAATCTAATGCGAACTCATTTGTTTGGTGAACTCTTGAGGTCTGCTTACAACTTAAATTGAAATTCGACAACAGTTCTTGTTGTTCTACTAATCTCCATTCATATAATATATGCCCATTGGTTATAAATAATTATTACTACTTTAGGCAGAGATGGATGGTGGCTAGCAGTGGAATCCTGTTACAATGTTGTTGTTTTTGGGACTGGTGTCTCTTATTTTATATTCCCAGATGACATTTTACTGTATCAAATGGATATTCTTATAAAATTACTTTATTCATAATTTATCATCATAATTTGTATTAGATTGTGATCATATTTAAGGATTAAAGCGATTTACAAGTTAGTAAGTTCGGTGATTGAAAGTGAACGAGCGAAAAATCTCAACTTCGGTTTCATGCTGGTTGATATTTGTCAAAAAGTCGAGATCTGTAGTGTTTGGTTATGGTCTCTTTCCAGCTTGTGTCACTTGTAGCACATGTTTGCCATGTACAAGTTTTCTAAGAGTTGTGTTTTTACGCTTTCCCATCACTATCATGCTTGCAAGTAAATATCAATATTTACTCTTAATACGAAGATTATAATTATATCATAATACACAGATGACTATTTGTTTTTTACATTTCTAATTGATTTTTTTTTAAATTTAAAATAAACAATATTTAGGAATTTTTCTCATATTTGTGGCATTCTACGATGCATGTTGGCGAATTCCATACTATAGACACTTTTTAGGTGGACTTTTAGGTTAGTTTAAACAGAATCCTTAACTTTTTTTAATCTTATGATTAATTTGATTTGTTTTTGTCCATGAAAAAGATAGAGATGATTATGTATCAATGTTTTTACAACACCTTTATGTACTTACTATCTGTAAATTTATTGTTCAAGTGGTTTACAACTTCGTCGTGAAACTACTTTTTCCAACTTTCTTAAGAAAGCTGCCAATCTTATTTCAGTGTACTGGATTTTAAAAGTTTATTTTGACCTTCCATCTTTTATTCGGCCAAACTGAACAAAAGCTCTCGACTGATTACAAGTTCAGTTTAATACGTGTACAAATACCTTTCGCATTAAGCAATTACAATAAGTGACTACCGCCAACTACGGGAAATACTGACGCTCATTGGTCCATGCAATTACTAACTTGATTAACACGGAAATAACAAACAAATAATGAACCTTTTCTGACGTAAAATCCCACAGGATTATGTATATCAGTTGCATGACCACATTGCATCACAGAAAAGAAATTACGTTATGTGCATAACCAAGTCTTAGACAACACCAAACTAGCCTATAGGGTTTATAACTAATGAATGATAATTTACCAACCGTATAACATATAACATCATCTTAAGAATGAAATGAAAGTTTACTATAAGAACAATGTAAAAATACCATAGCCCGAATATGTAATAAATAGAAAATAATTTTCTATAGAAAATTTCTGTGAGTTTCATTTCTCCGAATTCACAAGGTTGACGCTCTCAAGGTCAAAAACATTATCACGAGTATGAACAATTATTCTGATGGATACAGTACACGATCACACAACTAAAATATGTAACAACTTGTCGTTGGTAAATAGCTACATAACTAACATATTTATTTGTAAAAGTGAATGACTCGTTAAGTAGTTAGTGTCGGTATTCGACAAAAGACCATGCACTAAGATTTTGTCTTGTTTGTTACTTACCCGTAACTCCTTACGGGATCCGACCCCATGTCATTCAGCTTCACATCGACAGGGGTTGTCACTGAGTTATTTAGGCTACGGTAGGTCAGATGTATTTACAATTGATTGATCACTGAGTAGTGATCAATGTTATGTACATCAATACCTTCTTAGAGTCGTCTATCTTATAACTTGTAATTGAGTAATGGAGTGTTATTTCCTGTCTGTAATATTTTCGATTCAATGAAGAATATCTACTTAAGTTTCATATTTTATTTTAGATTTTCTGAGATCTACCGCAAATCATAATTCACTTAGTATATTATTGTAGGATTCTCTCATCCTTTCGAAGTATTATTTTCCACTTTTTCCTCGTATATTTTGTGATAGTTCTCAAGATATTGTGAAAGTTATTTATAGCTTTCAGCATAATGTTGATATACATGCAACTCAATGACAAAACGTTTATTTTAATAACGTACACACATGTTTTTATCAAATCTAGTTTGCATTCAAAATTAAGGAATTACATTATTATTTAATCGCTCAACTGAATCATAACCCACTAACTAGTTGTCTTTTAATCTTTCATTGGTATCTACAGCAACATCAAAATATATAATAATTAAAGATTTTCATTGTTCTTCTTTCTAAGTGTATTCGATTAACAAATGCTTTCAGTAACTAACAATTTATGGAAAATGTTTAACTTAACGTGATATATAATCTCAACAGTTAAAATATGTAATCTAGAGTAATTTCTTAGTCATATATCCCATCACCGAATACTTGATTCCTTTATTGATTTATCTCCAAAGTGATAACTTTTATTACACTATCGGTGTTTCCTGGCGTCCGATTATGTAATAATTATATTTATCAACGGAATCAATACTTCACTCATTTTGTTTCTGTGTGTATAAGTCCACATCACACACTCATACTGAAAGTTGTCGTACTCAGTCATAAGCATTGACCTTGACTATATTATAAGGTATTTATTGATATTCAGTTAAAATTCGAAAAAACGTCCTGAAAAGTGCATGTAAAGTTGAAATTAACTATACGCCATTTCATTTTGTAACATTCCACTAATTTTATCACATAATTATTGAACAATTAAATAACAACCAGGTTTCTAATGGTGGTCTAACATTGATCGATTCATGGTTTCAAAAATGTGTAACTTAACAATCTTCACAACCCCGTAATGCAAACAACCTATTTGTCATAAAATGCTTTGATTGGTTTGATTTTCATATATGCATATCAATATTACTATATACTTGAACAAACCCAGTTGAATGGTCTCACTGAAAGCAATATTGTCTGCTTATAAACCTTGTTCTAAAAATAAATAATGCTAACACTTATTTTTAGAAGAAAATATCAATAAAAGTTTTTATTCATCGATATTGTACTCCGTTGTTATTTCTTAATGAATCTATTTTAAACTTTGTTCATTATTTTAGGTTACTCGCTTGGTTATTTAGTTACTATCATTGTATTACATGTCTCTGGCGGCAGTCAACCGGGTTTATTGTATCTGTGTCCATTCACGTTTCTTGTGACCTTCATTGTTGTTGTCATTTGTGATGGTCTAAATGAATGGAAACTATTATGGTCAGGCAGTTTGCCTATATCGGTCAATAATGCTAATATAAATCTCGATGGTGATGACAACCAGGCTAATCGGTCAGCTGATCTTTTAGAAGTGAATGGTTTATTTTCAACTGAAAATAATTTCATTAACAGTTCAAAGGTTGTTCTAGTCCCTGTTAAGTAATAATCATATTCACTAGTATGGTACTACTTCTATTAAAAAGCAATACTTTATCGTTTATTTCTTTCTTATCCTTGTAAATACTGATTATTATGCTTACTTATTTTCTTTTTATTTGTGTACTGCGCTTACTTTTCTGATCTTATACTTTCAATATCAGATATGTTATCAATTTAATTATTATTCGAGAAACTGATTACTTCATTTTTACAACACTAGGAATGTAACAATTCCCAATTGTAAGCTATCCCTATTATAATATAAGAAGTTTCATTTTATAGGATTGCTATCCTGTTGTGCGTAGTTTTCTTAAACTACACAGGTTAAACTGAATTAATTTATATATATGCCTTCACAATATGATACCTGATATTTTAGTTGTTAATGTAGCAACTGATGACTCAAAACATAATGCAGGCAAGCAATTCGGTTCCTGAGATAGTATGTTAGTCGCTCACTGATTAAAGTGCTTTATCAAAAAGCTGCACTATTTACACTTGTGTTTATGATTTCCCTTTTTGAATATCGTTTATTTTTCATCTTTGTTCGTATCATTATTGTGCATCATTACAATACTGTTTGAAATTCATAAATTTTAAACTTCTAAACTGGTTGTACTAATTGAATTAGTGATGCGAATTCCAATAATTAATATGCTGGTCATTCATTCTGTCGCAGATACATAATCACACTAAGTTCATTTTCACCTTATATCAATTTTGCCAGCATGTTTCTCGTGATACTACGTCACAACAATAAAGGGTCTAATTTATAACGAAACAATATAGAAATTATTTGTAAACCAATGTGTTTATCTAATTCGATTGTACCGTAAGATCATATTTGGGGATTAAAAATGACACTGTGAAGGCTGGCAAACAATCATAATCCACGCGAAACAGGTTGCAATTATGCATGTAAAAATAATATGATTACTTCTATTCTAGAGAGGAGAGGAATGTAAACTTATTGATAGCTAGAAATATTTTCATTATACGATTCATGGGAAGCAAGTCATTTACATGACTGACTTGACTAACATGAAGGGAAATGAAGCCTTTTTCCGTAATTATGTTTTGCTGTCAGTTACTAGTATACCAGGACCTAGTACAATTGTTTATCAGTATGGTGAGAGGGAATGTTGCAGATCGGGTTCTATTTTTTATGATTGCAACAAAGTGGAATATTGAATGTCTAACTCGAGCAAAAGGAATAAACCTTAAGGATAAGCTATAGGACAATAATGATAAGGAGGAAACAGTTCGTGTAGTTTATTTAATAATGAAATAATTAGGGTATAGAGTTGTAAAGGTAAGTAAATCTCCAGATGAATTGTTTTATGAGCCGTCGGCAAGGCAAGCTGTGATTGGAGGACGAGGTGTATTGATTGATAGTCTCGTGACATCGAATCGAGACGCTTAATCCACCACAGATAAAAACCACTAAGGTAAGTGAGCAAAGTTAGCAACACGTCGAGCGGGCACGTGATGGTTTTTAGTGCAGTGAAGCAAAAGGAGTACGATAAAACAATTATAGTTACAACTGTGTATAATAATAAGTGTATCCATTCCACTGATTGCGTTCTCTGCGTAAAAGCCTTCCACTACAAGTCCTCCGTCACAAGGGCGTAAGCTAAGCCTCACATATACGGAGATGTTATTCATTTTAGTATTCAATATTGACACATTTATTATCACTAGACAGAACCACTGTGATCAATCAGATTATACGTTTGGATACTGAAGATGACTGCTTCGTTGATAAGTGTGTCATCGCCAAACGTCTTTGGTCAGAAAATAACAAATTTATCATCAGCAACCTAACCGACCTTTTCAAGTTCACAGCTAACACATCAATATGTGGAGTGCGCATTGTGGGAGAAAAATGCATTCATGATCTTGTTCTGTCGTCTAGTTTCGACATATTAATATTTTGCATTCGCATGTATGGATTAATAATGGCTGTTGAATGCCTTCATTAAGAAATGTAAGTGCGGACAGAATCTGACAATATGTAACGTTACTGGTTTATAATGAATATGTGTAGTGCATACTTTTCAAACGGCGTTGAATAAGGGCGTTTAGCGATCGGTCATTCGATAGAAATGGTCTGACTGATCTATTGAAGAATGCAAGTCACCAGAAGTAATTTATATGCAACATATAAGTAAAATGTAATTAGAATGGTGGTTTATGTAAGAAATAATTTTTAAATTAGGCATCTGTTGTATTGTTCTTATGTAATTGTTTTCTCACCAACGTTCCGTATTTGTGAAGGAACTGGACTAGTGCCATGAAGTCAGGAAGAGTAGGCGGTTTTTTGTTCGAACCACCTCATCTTTGAAATGGTCTTAACCACCAAGACAATGCAAAGTTTTGTAATCCCATATCACATAACTATTTTACATCCACAGAATTTTGGGGTCCTAGCCCCTGACTATTTCGTACTCCATAATTCATTCTAAGCATTATTTATCTCTTTACACTTTATCTACTTATGGGAAAAGTGGATGAAGTATAATCTGATCTAATCTTTATAATTCTTAATAATTTGTAAATTTTGCGTTACTCTTTGCACATGTCAACCACAAAAGATAACCTGGCATTTAGGCTAGGATGGACCGGGTTAGAGAATCAGTCAATAGTGTGGCTTTAATTCGTGTCGCGTAACTTCATCATTTCAGTTAACCCTAAAGGGGTTGTAAGACTGTCAATAGGACAACATAACGAGATCATCACATGGAGCTTAAATGTATATCAACAAATCATCTAGAAGTACTGTTTTAATAGGTTTAAAGTTAAAATATACATTGGAAAGTATGATCACGATAAATGTTTTACTATTAAGCTCTAACTGAGAACGATAATAAAGCAAAGTGGCATTTACCTCAATAAATATCACAAAATTCTAAATCAGCTGACTTTTTTCGGTTGAGAATATTTCAGTCAGTCAGTCAGTTGCAATGTAGAACTTCGTACGTACGTACATCAGTTCATGTTGCCATACCACATTAGTAAAGAGGCGCAATTGTCAATTCAGACCCCATAGTGGTAGAGATAGTAGAAGAATTACTGGTAATGGAGATAAGGATTTGAAGATAATTTTCAAGAAGTATAATTCAGTGAGAAATGTTTAGAAAGACAAAGGTGGAGGTGTGGACAAATCGAGAAGATTAGGATTTGAGAGAACATAAAGAGTGGATACACTTGAGCCATTGTAAACAATTTTAAGCCATGTCATTCGAAACCTAAAAATCGGTGACTGACGTCTCGCGAACTCCAACCAGGCAGTCAAAAAACTACAGACGACTCAGTCCACTTGTCAGCGACTTCATGGATTTCTACCATGTTTTGGTTTAGCCACCCCTAGCTTTCTTCCAACCTACTCCTACACCACAAAACAAAGCTCGTAGGGGCAGTCGGTGGATAGTTATACGTAACACATGTCCCAACCACCTCAACTGATGATTGATTTGCCATCCTTACCTAGTACTTGTTTCCTAACGATAGCATTGCTTACTCGGTCGTCCCAGGTTACACGAGAAATGCTTCTAAGACATCTGTGATCGAAAATCAATAACCTACGAATATCTTATACTCTCACTGGCCATGTTTCACAGTCATATAGACTCGTCCTTTGGTTTAGCAAACGGACATCTTGCCTTCGCCATAGGTGACGCTAGCTGGCAAGAGCTTTCTGTATCCGTGCTGAGATTTCGTCAGTCACCAGGCCATCAGCGCTGATGAGACTGTCAAGACAAGTGGAGCGGTCAGCACGCTCAACTATTTCACTTCTTTGGTAAACCTTTTGATCACAGACACTGCCGCAGAACCTAACGACCAACAGAGTCCAATGCCGTCTTAAGGTCCGGGAGGACAACTATTGTCGGAAGCCTAAATCTGTGTCTGTGTTCTAGGACCTGTCGTAGGGTGAAGATGTGGCCCATACAGCCGCGTCCAGGTCGAAAACCAGCCTGGTTTTCTCCAGTCTACTCTTCACGAGCTATAGTTAGGCGTCTAAGTATAATCGAAGCTAACAATTTCGAAACTATAAATATATGTTAATATATGTACCTTCAACAAGATGGTTACAGATGTTGCCATATTCTCCCACCCTCCTAACATATTTACAGTAATGAAATTGGTTTCGCCGGATCACAGAACGGAGAAATAAATCGATTACACCTGTGTCAGCTTAAAATTCAGAAGGACGATGCAGGATGTGGGAACAAAGAAGCTGGGATAGCTTCGCATAGAAAGCCAAGGCACAGGCCGAATACACAGAAGCAAACAAACAAGTGAAGGTAAGCATTAGAACCGATGATCGAAAATATATGGAAGACCCAGTAATGATAGCAGAAAAAGCCGCAAGTCAAAGATACATCAGACACTTACGCGATACAAGCTTGCTGGATAGTCGAACAAACCAGAACAACCAGTGAAACACAAGGAAGGCAAACCAAAAAACCGACATTCGCGAACATAGAAACTAGTGGGTGGAATATCTTATAAGTGTCGAACAGACCAACCACACTGAAGCCGTCAAATATTGAGGCAGCACCTACAAATTTCTCAACTGGTGTTTACCCACCAAAAATTGAAGAGATCAGTATGGCCATCTGACATTTCAAGAGTGGTTGCAGGAGTGTAAGACAACATAGTAAATAAGGCACTGAAATCAGTCATAACAGTAGCTGTAAAGATATTTCACATTCTATTCGGCAAGGATTGGGAGGAATAGAAAGTACCAATAGACTGTAAAGAAGGATAGCTGATCAACATACAAAAGAAAGGAGATCTTGTCAGATGTGAGTACTACATAGGCAATACTGTAATTTGATACCAGAAAATGTCTTTAACAGAAAGTCGTTAAAGCGAACGAAAAATTTAATAGATATCCAACATCTAGATCACCATGTTTG